GAGTTTCAAATATACTTAAAAGGTGTTTTTTATGTATTTCTTTGTTTAGGGGTTAATATTATCCCTGTGGTAAGTAATTGTTCATAGAAATGAAGGAGAGAGGATGCACTTTTTTGGTTGGCCATGTTTCAAATTTAAGGTTAGTTAGTTTTAAAGTTCGATCTAATTGTCAATTTAAAAACTAGCCTGCAACAAAGGAGGGAGGGAAAGTGTAAAGTGCAGGCTTACTCAAATTTTCTACCTTTTATCAATATAGGAATTTAATATTTTTTTCATTTGAGCTGATTCTATGTAGTTTTAATATAAATACATGGTTCAGAAAACCACTGAGTCATTTTCGTTCTAGTGACATTTGTTGTTTTCTAGCTGGTAGTGTCTACTTTGCCCATAGAAATATTGATGCAACTTCACACATTGTGTAGAGTAATTCAATGACAGCATGTTCTTTACTGGCTGTGTAGATGATGTTGTAAGAGAACAACCAGGAACGTTGTAATCGCGTCATTCTAGGTAGATCCTGAAGTAGTAAATCCTGTGTTTATTGAAAGGCAGGACTTTCAGTCGGGAATTAATATATCTGGCCATAATGGTCTGTTTAATCTCAGCAATTAGATGATACTTAACCCAGTGAACTACCAAGATTTACAATAAGTGAAACATGAAGTCAAAAGTAAGTATGAATTAGTATGACATATCCTGAAAGGAAGGAAATCACATTTGAAAGAAACTAGAAATCTCGAGGTAAAATGTGATGTCAGCGAAGTATGTGTAAAATCAAGGGTTATCCAGAACAGAACTTTTACCTACATGCTTGAGAAAGAACAGAGAATACTTGAAATTAACTGACCCTTGGCTCTTTTCTACTGAGTGCAAAATGTTCTTGCTGAATGCGACATCACATGCCGTAGTCTAGTTATAGAATCTTTGAAAACAGTCTGTATAAAAGTCGGCCTAAATTTACCATAAGTCCATTTTATTTCAGTCTTCCTTCAGCAAGTTTCATCAAGATTTTGCTCTCATAAATTTGCAGTCCAGTCTTAAAGCCATGGGGAATTTTTCATATTCAACTTCCAAGTATTTAGAAAAGTAGATTTGTAAATAGGAATGTGTGTTGAGACCTGGATTAATTTGATCGAAGTACTAATGACATTGCTAATAATCGAACTGGTATATCTAAGTGTTTTACACTCACAAAAAAGTAACCTGTCATTCTGGTCACAACTGTAGTAATTAACTATATAATGAACATTTGTATATATATATATTTGACTTGTTCTAATATATTATTTTAAAACAAGTGGATTGTGTGCTGTCTATTTATTATTGAAATTTATTGCCAGCAAGTTACAGACATCTACTGTAAAGAATCCGGCCCCTATACAAAAACCTGACATAAACCTTTCATGATGTTCTTTTGACCAGTGACATTTCATTTTCCAGTTATAGCTAATACTTTGATGACCAACTTGGATATTGTAGTGACGATTTGATTCTATTGGATGCTAACTTTAAATCACATACTCTAAGAAAAAAGATGTAACTAGCTGTGATTCCCAGTGTGCTTTTTATTTGTTGTTGTAAAGAATCGAGCCCACACATACATAAAAACCTGAAATTAGTGAGCCAGCCAGGATTTTATAGGGATATATGGTGGTAGACATAAACAACAGTGGGCAATGTAAGCCTATATACACACACGCAGTTGTAGAGGTTACAACTACCCCATATAACCATTTTGGATTGATTTTGATAAATTGATAGAGACGGGCAAGCGACTTGGGCTCAAATATGGTGACCTATGAGAGTTTTTGTAAACAATAACAAGGCCTAAGGAGAGAAGAGTGTCAACAGAAAACAGAGGGAGAAAGAAGTGAAAGGAGAGACTGGAAATACAGAGAATAAGAGCACAAATTGAGAAAGAAGAAAAGGAGAGACTAGAAATAGAGAAAATAAGAGCAAGAATTGAGATCACCAAGCTCACCCAACAGAAGAATGGAGGAACAAAGAATGACAATTTGGTCTGGAACAGCTGACCCAAGCTGCCCAAATTTGACGAATAGAAAGATGACATAAATGCTTTCCTGGACAGATATAAACGATTCACTCAAAGTCAGAACTGAGACATGGGCAACTGGACAGTCTGTGTCAGCTCCTTTCTCACAGAAAAAAGGCCTACAAGTGTATGTGGGCATGACACCAGAAGATACCATCGACTATGACAAGTTAAAAATGACCTTGCTGAAGCACTATGAACTTACTGTGCAAGATTGTCATCAGAAGTTCAGAGAAGTCAAACCTGACACTGGAGAAAACTTTATTTCAATTTGTGGCATGTCTACAGTGACATTTCACAAGATGGACTGATATGGCCAAATGTGAAGATAGTTTAGAAGGACTGGCAGATCTACTGATATGGGAACAGTTTATGATTACATGCTCTTCTGAAATTCACTGTTTCCAAAGAAAAGAGCACCAAATGACGCGAAAGAATGATCAAGCTGGCAGAACAATATATGGAAGCCCATGAAAGGATTATAACTGGCAAGTCCAAGAATAACCAGTTAAAGTCGAAACTATGGGTACCTGACCAGAAGCAGGTGCATGATTGGAGCATGTGACAAACATTGAGAGGTGCCAACAAACCACAACATGCCAGTAGGCGAAGGCTATGTCAGGACCAAGAAAGTAAACGTTTTACGAGACACTGGGTACAGCAGTGAGAACCAGTCTAGTATCTGATGAACAAATGACAAGCAAAGTACATCTGTGTGTGCTGATAGATGGGACAGTGAGAAAGGTTCCCATAGCAAGAATAAAGGTAGACACTCCATACTGCGTGGAAGGCCTTGAGGCTCTGTGGATG